AAAGAGGCATGTTATGTGTCCATCACCTAGCTACTGTCACTGGCCCCTGCTCATCTTTACCTGATGCAGCCCTAGAAGCAGAAAGGCCTCATCTTTCTACCATGCAAGAATTTGAGGCCCATACCACTCTTCCCTCTGTCTTCCCCAGTCAGAAAGAGGCTCCATCCTGTACTTCAGCATCCCCGGGTCCTGTGGACAAGGCCTTTTACTTCCCTGACAAAAATCCATTCTACTAACAACAAACAAGTATAGTATTTCTGGGGTTTTGTTCAGTTATTTCTTGGGGGGGGCGGGGTGTTCATGCTACTAGGGATAGAACCCAGGGCCTAGAGAATGCTAGGCAAGCATGTTACCACTGAATCACACCCCCGACCTAAATGAGCAGCCACTGAAAAACGTAACCAGGTATTTCTCCCACTACTCTGCACCCCTAAAACATCACACAAACTCCCCATGATCTCCGGTGCCAATTCCCTCTTCGCAAGGGCACACCGAGCTCCCTATGCTGTGCTCACAATGAGAGGTCCCCTCCAGTCCATTGTCCTGTGTTCTCCTGGACACTGCTGCTGGTCCTCCAGGGTGACCTCCAACAGGGTAAGGGAGCATGTTGCCAAACAGGCCTGCGATGACCTGACCTTCTCTTTCTCTTGGTGCCTGCAGACTCTCTGCTTGCTGCCCTGGCCTCTTTCTAAGATGTCTGCAGATTTTGGTTTATGACTACTTTACGTGACCCTGGAACAGAAGCTTCCTTAAGAGCAGACTTCCACTCTGACCTGCCACTGCTTCTCAGTGCCTGACCCTGAGCAGATCCCAAAGATTCTCTGAAGAGCTTGGCAGAATGAAGTGATGCCTGCCACCTTTGCTGAAGGCTTCAAAGCCACTGCCTGCCCAACACTGCACAGCCCCACCATGCCATCCTCACCTAGGCAGCATCTCCGAATGGGAATGCTGTGGGAGCTCAGTGCAGTTGGCAAAATAACCAAGTGGATGGATTCAACAGCGGGGTTGTTGCTCATGTGTGAACTCCATCCACCATCTAGTGGTGGAAGAAGGTAACTGCAGGACAGCATGCTTTCTGCCAGCAGTCCAGGAGCAGCAGCAAGAGTTGGGCATCTGGGTCAGGGTGGACTGTTGCCTGGTCAGGCATCGCCTTCCCTAGTCTCTACAACAGGTGTCCCATTGTGTAGCCAAATCTTGCACTGGTATTGGGGAGGTAAAAACCAACACCAAGGAAGAGAAACCCATCTGAAATGAGAGCCGTGCATCTGCCCGGTGGGTTCGCCCACAGGAGACACCGCCAACCTGGTCAGACATCATGTGACGGGACAATTCAGGCAGATCCTCTGTGGGGTTGGAATTCAGGGGTGTGTGGAAGCATCCACTAGGGGATGCGGGGGTATCATGTTTCATATTTCCTGAGTCAATGCAGGGAGAACTGGGGTCAAGTTAAAAGAAATTGAAACAAGTACTGAATGTAAAACTGAAGGGAACAGGTGGAGAAAATATAATTGAAATAAAAAGGTATGTAAAAGTCCAAAGAGAAATATAATATTGTGTAACACTGCAAAAATATAATAAAGAAGATAATCGCTCAGTGCCAGTGAGACAGGGAGTCTTGTCAGCCTCTGCACCCCAGTGCATCTTGAAGATGACTCTGGGTGTCTGCTCATTCCTAAAGGGTTCGCCAACCTCCATGGTTTGTAGCTGATTTTGAGTTAACTTAAAGCAAACCTCTTGGCAAGGAGCTCCATGTTAAACACGTGTCTTGGGCTTTTCCTTGAGTAATCCTTCTGTTAGGTTCACCTCACACGAAGGGCAGGGGACTTGTATCGAAGGTTGCATGATCAGTACCTTGGCCTGTGTCTCAGCTGTAAAACTTCTAGAAAGCTAAGAGGACATAGAAATCCTGAGGAATAGACGTTGAAGGGTTAGCTTGGTGTGGTGTGACAGGCCCAAAGTCTTCACAGTACAAGGTGAACCTAGTCCCACAGGTGTGCATCAAACCACAAAGCCTCCTCCCTCCCAGGGCATCAGGATCAATACTGACACAATTCTGTGACAGCTGAACACCTCGTGCTTCCACAAATGTCAGGTGCCTACTTGACTTCCCACTAGAGACCAGTCATGGAGTGAGCCAGCTCTCTTTTAGGGAAAACCAGCAGGAAGCAGCTGCCATATGTCCCCATTCCCCAGCATGCCCAAACTCCTGATGCTGTGTCCTTCCCTGTGTAGTGGTGGGGCTGTACGGCAAAGCCAGGTCAAACAAGACCCCTACCCACAAACCTCTACCTTCCATTCCAAAGCACATAGAAGTGTCCCATTAATGGGTCTATGAGTTATTAGCCCATTGTCCAGAAAGTTTGTTATTACCAGGACTCTGGAAGTGGAGGCAGCCTCTTGAATTCTGGCCTGCACAGCCAGACCTTGTCTAAAAATAGTCAAACCTCTTCTCAACTACACAGAAAAGGCCTGGCCACCAAAAAGTAGTTCTGAACAACCCAGACTGCATAGGTGGCTTTTATGGACAGTTCTGGAATAGGCACCAACATTGACCCATCTTTAATGGGTGTTAAATAGGCAAATAATTCTACCTCAACCAGAATCAGCTTGATCGAAGTCTACTGATGCCTATACCTCTGTGGATGGGAAATAAACTCTAGTTAAAATCTGGCCAAACACAAACAGGGCTCAGTTAGTCGAGTGCCTGCCTAGTATGCATAACACCCTGGGATCTTGCCCCAGCACAGTACAGTACAAACCAGGCATGGTGGCACATGCCTGCGATCCCAGCCTCGGGAGGTAGAAGCAAAGGGATCTGAAGTTCAAAGTCATCCTTAGCTATACGGATTTCAAGGTGATCCTGAGCTGCACAAGATCCTGTTTCCAAAAAAGAATAAAGTACTGAACATGGGACAAGGCCTTCATTTCATGAGTATCATGAAATACAAATATCCTAATGCATAAACGCAGTTTTATAAAATGAGGGGGCGGGGCAAACTAATAGGCCTTGATACTTGGTGACAACTGAATGAGACTTGGAAAAACGAAGTGACTCAAGTCAATGTCTCACATTTATGAATCACATTAAAGATTGCAAAGGGAACCTCCCAGCATCATTTACCACCAGATCAAGTCATTCTCATTGTGTAAGTGGAAACTGAGGCACACGAGTTGTCCTGTGTGTTTATCCAGGAAACGTGCCCTTGAGCGCTACTAGCAACCTGGCTGGAAGGCCAACCCACAGCAATGAAACGGTGTGTCTGTCCTGACTGAGGCATGGCTCAACCTGCCTCAGCAACAGACAGGGCTTATCAGCCTGGGTTGCAAGGGAAGTGCAGCACGGTATGTACTGCTCTAAGGGTGGTGTCCGCACTGGCTTCCCGGCTATCACCTTGGCCAGAAGTGAAGGGGAGACGCAAAGATGGCAAAAACAACTTTTTTAAAGTAGGCACCTCTAGCAAATTATGTGGTATGTGATCCACTTTTTTTTTTTTTTTTTTTTTGGTCTTTTTGAGACAGGGTCTCCCTGTAGCCCCAGCTGTCCTGGAGTCACTATGTAGACCAGGCTGGCCTTGAACTCACAGAGATCTGCCTGCCTCTGTCTCCCGAGCGCTGGGATTAAAGGCATGCACCACCATGCCCAGATTGTGAGCCACATTTCTAAACAGAGAATAGTTGAACGACTTCAATTAAGGGTGTGGAGAGTAATCTAATGACGCTAGAAAATTCCTCTGGTGGCAAAACAGGTCAGGCAAAAAGAACATGGCATTAAGGGAGATAAGAACACCATCATGGTTTCATCAATTCAATGTTTCAGTTGTGTCTAAAACATGGACTGTCCTCAGCTTCTGCATCCAGATCATGGGCACAGTGATCACATGGCCACTCCTTCCCCGTAATTCCCAAAAGTCATGGAGGTCCTCAAGTAGCCCATGCTCGCATGCATGTCCTCATGGTTGCACAAGGAGGAGGTGGCAGAAAATGCAGGACTGCCTTCTTAGGAGAGTGGTTCCAAGGAGAACAGTCTGGGGAAGGTATATGGCTGGGATGGGAACACAGGAGCCTCTGTCCTACATCTGAGCTAACTGCCTTTTAGTGACACATGGGAGTCTGGGCCAGGCTTGGCTGTCACCCCACAGGGGTTGCTACAGCTCAGCTTAGTGTCAGAAGCCCTTTAAGGGCTTGGTATTGATGGCTCCTCACTCTCAAGCATCTCATCCTTTTAAGAATCAGCCATCCAGGGGGAAAGAGGTTCTGAATAGAGTCCTAAATCTCACCTGAGTTAGACAAGGTCTGGATTGCAGTCTGCTCAATCCAGAGGCCTTTTGGGAAATCCCTCAAAAATGGTAATATACCTCCAAGTACAGCAGGGATAGGGGTGCAGACATCCAGGGCTCCAGGGTTTCAGGAGCCAAGCTCAGCACTAGCTAAACCTCAACTTTCATGTTCTCAAAAGTCATGTATAAATATTTCCTCATCCCCTTTTTCTGGTTCATAGACACACAGGTACATTTTAAAATATACCTTAAGTTAGGCATCTGATAGTTTGACTCCTTATTTTTATTATCTAATCAGTAAACCCAAGGCTCCAGCCCACCACATCCCCAAAGACTGATGCAGAGGCTTCAGCCAGGGGTGGTGGATCCCTGAGCCCCCTCTTAGATACTCTTGAAAAATCCCACTGTGGCCTCCAGCACAAGTATTAGAACAGGGTGTGTGTGCGCAGCAGGAGATGAGGTGTGCTGGGGGGTGGAGACTTCATTGAAAACAAAACAAACAAAAAAGGCAGATCCTAGATTCCACAAAAGACCTTGGGGAAACTGTCCATTTTGGCATCTTTTTAGATGAATCGTCTTGAAACTCTTACTTGTAAAACTATATAAATAAAGAACAGTAACATCGGGCTTATGTTCAGCCAATGAAAAGAAATACCCACAAGCTAAGACAGGCTTTCAAGTGATAAGCCACCTTTTAAAACAGGGGGAAATGTCTTACAAATCTCAAGAACTCCAAGATGTTTTTATTTATTTCAAATTCCAATAGAATGAATATGTTTTATCTAAATATTTTATCACACAACTGAAACATTGAATTATTTTCTCAGAAATAGTTAAATACAACAATCTAGTTACAAATTCTAAAATAAAGAGTACAAAATACGTTAAAAATTGTATTTTTAAAAAGAAATACAAACTCTATGGTCTTCTGCATCTTACCGCCTCAAAGTACAATTAGCGAAGTTGGGGAAGAATGAACATTTCGCTTGGTGGCCACTTCTCATAGGCGCATCCCAGGGCCCTGAAGTCTGCCCGCCCCCCCACAGCAACCATCCATCACTAGAAGGTCTCATCTGTGATTATTATCTTTTCTTTTCCTTTCCTCAGAGAATAACATGTTCTGCAACCAGAGGTCGCTAAAATTACAGCATTAAACAACACATGCTACTTCAACTCCTCAGGGGGGAAAGGGAAGCTCACAAGGGAGCCTCATGATCTGCTGGGCGGTGACGGGGAGGAGTCTCGTCTTACAGAGTAAGGTTGGTCAACAGTCTCTCACAAGTCCAGAGGATACCCTCTTCTGGGAGGACAGCACCCACTCTCTCTGATCTGGAAGACACCTACCTTCACTCACCCACAGAGGACACTCACTCGTGCTGGTTCAAATGGGGTGAAGAGCCCACCGCCACCACCTGGAGAGGCACAGAGGGGAGCAAGCCACCTGCTGTGCCTAATCCTACACCTTCAAGGAATGAGGCTGAGACCTAGGTGTCCCTGTGCCTTACAGAGACTCCTGGATGTGCGCTCAGCGGCCAATCAGAAGAGGCATCTCAAGAGGCATTGCTGCAGCCTTTGATACCAGCTGTGTGCAGGCCCGACCTTGAGTGCCTGGAGCACCTTGTTTTCAGAAACCAGTGTCTTTCTCGGCTTAAAAAAATAAATAAGTAAATATTGGGGGGAACCTCTTAAAACATCTACTTTTCCAGACCAAAAAGGCAAAATCCACTTGACTTGGAAACCTGTACTGAGTAGAGGAGGCTGAACCATCTCCTCCTAAGCTTGTAGAGACTTCTAGAACCAGCAGAGGCATGGACACGTACAGTGGGCCCTTCCCCCAGAGCAGACAATTAGTATCCACTTTTTTGGAGAATTTAAATCTTCATTTTCTGAATTAAGGATGGGTGAACAACCTGAAAGATTTTTAGAAGCTCACTGTGGATTACTTGAATTCAAAGTAAGGAAGAAGTTTAGAAGAAGAGGTAAAAGAAAGAGGGGAGAAGTGGAGCCAGGCCAGGAGCGAGCAAGCCAGAAGTGAAAGAACACAGGGTGGAAGGGCGGGGAGACACACAGAGCAGCTGCAGTGTAGACAACCAAACCCTTTATTTGTCTAAGTTACATTAGACGCAACACTGTAAAAATCTCATTAGGAAACAAGGAGACAGCAGATTCGTAGAGGTAGTAGAAAGTCTGTAACAGTCAGAAGACGACGTACAGAAGTGTATCATGCAGAAATTATCATTAAAAAAAAAGACTCAAAACATATTGGCTAAATAAATAAGAAAACACGAATCATTTTAAATACTATTGCTGAACTGACATAAATGAACAAACCAGCCCAATGCTGATGGTCAGTGGGAGAAAGGAGCCACACACCCAGACCAGCATGTGGCTGGTCCCAGAGGAGGTGCCAGCTGGGGGTCCCCATAGTCTTGTGACTATGCAGAAACCCTATCTCTGTGCTGCATGGGGCAGGTCATCATGGGACTACTGTCCTCCTGGCTGCCCTTCCGGCAGCCAGACTCAGCTGTATGCTCAGCTGTAGGAACCCCATGCCCCACCCCTTTGCCCACCAGACCAACAGGGAAGGAGACTCACAGGAAGAAAGACCCTTCCAGCTCTCAATGCCAAGTGCCACTTCGGACACAGTAAAAATGTAGATGACACCTTTGTGTCCCTTTGGGTACAGAAATTTCTTTTAATAACTAAAACAAAGAAACAGACAGGGCCGAATCACAGGCCCCTAACACATTCCTAACTGTCACCTTTACTTTCAGCCAAGAAAACAAAAAGCCAGAGAACGCAGAAATGATCACTTTGGGGGAAAACTATCAAAATGATCAAATGTGAATCAACAGAAAGGTACTCTGCTGTCTCAGGTGGAGAGGAATGTGTCTCTGCGACTTGTTCAGGGAAACTTCACAGAACCATTGATGTTCCCAAGCATGCCAACGCAGCATGCTGTTCTCATACATACCTGGTGTAAGAGTACTGGGGAAAAAAATAAGTAAAAAAAATAATTATATATAGATATACATATATATCTGCTAGCCAGTTAACATTGCATTGTTTGCAAGTGTCGCAAAGTCACCTGAACGGTCAAGTAATTTAACAGTAACAAGTAGAATCCAGAACCAAACATTAGCTAACAATAACAATAAAAATAATAATAATATTATAATAACCCAACAAATCATTAGAAACCACACTCTAGGGTTCGTGTATACATGTGTGTTTAAACAAGTCTTTGTATCAGAAGCCCATTTTCTACAAAAGCTGCACTAGTCCATTACTGTATTAAGTAAACTGTTGCTCTCACCAGTATTAAAGGTTAGGATAATTTCTGTACATGTAAAATTATTGCTTCTTTTTTGAAAAATATATTTCGCATGCACGTCTTAATCCATTTCCTGCCTTTACAAAATTTCACAATTAAAAAAAAACCTAGTAAAGCTTTTGCAAAAAATTTCACAGAACGTTTTCATTCAAGGCAGCAGTAACTTTTGATAATGCATAAAATCCTATGTGCAAACATCAGGAACTCTCAGAAGTATCGCCATCACACACAGTGTCACGGCAACAGGAAAAGGAAATGCTTCTACCTGCGGAATACAGCTCCAACTGTGGACACTGCGTGGGTTCAGAGCCTCTGCTAGGGCCTTCACCCCACCACAGAAACATGAACTTGCGAGACTAAGGAAGAGGTATATAAAGCCGTCCCCCACTCTCAGGCCCGGTGCCCCCCACCACCTGTGAACAAAGTCACTCATCAAATGGAGGTCACCAGGCCTGAGAGGAAAAGACATCTACTTGCTGGGGTGGTGTAGGGGAGAGGTTGGGATGGGGGTGGGGCAGCAGAAGGTTCCAGAGCATTAGCACCCTAATGATCTAGGGGCCCCAATTTGCTCAGGGATTCTTCTGCCATTACTAAAACAGGCCCAAAACGGGAGGATTCAGTGGCTTAATTTGTTAAGACGTATAGTCTTCTTTTGTGAGCAGTTTGCAGAATGTAGCCCTGTTACAAAAAGGTCCTGAGAGTACACAAAGAAGCCTGCTCTTCTTAGTGTTCAATAGCTTTCTTTTCCGAAGCAGATTTAGATGTGTTCCCATCGCTGCCGCCATGTTTCCTGTGCTGGACACAGCCCAAGTGGTGAAAGAGCAGAGTGCATGAGCGAGACACTGGTGGTGCACAGTATGTCATGGCCACACCTCTGAACTATGAGGATCTCACCATCACCCTGCCTCCACCTAGCCTGATCTGCACAGCACCTGAAGGCCACCTTTCTGTCCTCTCTCTTACCTATTTAAAAACCCACTTAAGACAGGGAGAGGCGGGGGTGCTGATATGCCAATAGGCTCCACTTCCCCACCTCCTGACATCATCACTTCTGTCCTTCCAAGCACTGGGACTCCTCCTACAGTGCCTCACTCCATCCAAAACACACCAGTATCTTTTTTCCAGTGTCTCACACTTGTCTTGAGTAATTTAGAAGCCTCGCGCTCCCACTGCACCTGCCAGTACCAATGCTTATCACGAGGAAACACGGGCTAAGTCGATGAGCACATACATGCATTTGAAAGAGCTACACAGAATTGTAGGCATAGCATCTTCGCTGTCCCTAAATGTCACTGAGGAAGGCAAGAGGCCGCCCTCCGTCCACTCCAGCACAGCGGCTCCCAGGTCTGAGGTGTCTGGTCAGGAGACAGTTGTTCTTCTTGCCTGAGGTGGCCATGGTCACTGCTGGGAGGCTTCCAGGCACCCGTGAGGCCACTGTCAAAACAGTCACGGGGCCAAGCGCTGGAGGTGTGTCTCTAGGTCCCCTTTCGGAGGGGCCCTGCTGGCACAGTTCCTGGGGTGGTATGATCTCTCCCCTGCACAAGAAAGGAGATAAGAGACGAGCTCAGTTCTGTTTCCCAGTCCTAAAAAAACATTTTTGCTATTAATTTTCTTAGCAACACCGAGGAACACAAATCATGACCTTCACAGATCAAAGGAGTTGGGGCGGTAAAGTTCTCTGATTTTAACTACTGCTCATTTTATACAAGCATGAAGTAACTTTGCATTTGCCTTGCTGGACTGTCCCAGTGATGTAGAAAGCATCACTACACTTCCGCAGCAAATGGCAGTGGCAGAATCAGCTCTGAAGGGGCTGGCCAGAAGTCAGCAAGGTGGGAGGGATGGAGGTTTGAGAAGCACAATCTTTGGTACACAGCAGATCCCCACAGGACTGACAGTTCCCGAGGGTGAATGTGGAGCCCCACAAACAAAAGGAAAGCACTGCCTATGCTGGTCAGCTGGAACTTGAGAGTGCTTCTCCCACTTTCCCAAATAATTCCCACAGTGGAGAAACAGCAGGGGCATACTGCAAGTCAAATGAAGGGCATCAACAATGGAGCACAGATGTGAGTTTGCAGTGCTCAAAAAACATCGGTGTTTAGCAATGGCATCATCTGAGGACAAAATAACTTGGTAAAACCTTTCCTAACTGCCTCATCTTCAACTAAAGCCCTGAGGAAGAGAGATCATTAATCTACAAACCACAGCACTCACCTCAAGATAAGCCCTATGGGAATCCTAGAAACACATGGGAGGGGACGTGGGTGGCAGGATGAATTAAGTGCTTCTCTTTACAGTTTTAGAAAACTATTTAAAGCTGGTCTTCCATAGGACACCTACTAGTGATTGCATAGCAGAAATCAAAAATATACTCAGGTCATGTGTTTGAGGGCAGGGCAAGCACAGAGCTACAGTGGCCTGTTTGAAGTATGGGACGAAACACTGAATGAGGGATGTAATAAACCCTCCTTTGGTAGACAGTGAACTTCTTGATGTAGACCAGGAGTGGTGGTTCATATTTTTTTCCACAGCAATGTTGCCTGCCAGAGACTTCCATCGATCATCAGCAGGCTCACTGGGAACTAGTTCTAGGCATGTTCACAAAGGAACATGGGGCTCTGTATTCCTGAGAGAAAACAGGCTGGGGAGGGGGAAGGGGAGGGGGGCACTGCTGGGTATTTGGCCTTGAATGTCACTCATAAACATTTACCTATAGCAAAGACACTGCCAGAGGGTCCGGGCTGTGGTGTCCAGTGCACAGCTATAGTGCTGTGTATATGGCTATAGTGTTGTGTGCATCTATAGTCTACAAAGACTGCAGCACTACAGGCCCCAGGACACATCCACCTGTGAGCTCCATCTTTGGATGGAGCACACAGACTTGTCCTGGGCAGAAACAAAAGGATGTGAAAGCCCATGACAAAAAGGATAAGAATAGCACTCCACCAACGAAGAGCTGAAGCTTTAAACTGCAGAACTCAGAGAAAGTTTTCCAAAACATTTATTTCAGGTCCACAAAGCCTAGAAAGCCGTAACAAGGCACTTGCAATACTGTCCATAAACCCAGCTGCAGAGTTTCCCATTTTCTCTTTTTAATGGAAGAGACAGATTTGCATGCCTTACTTTTTGAAGAGTCATTTTAGATCACTGGGACCACCAATGATGGGACCACTCATCCAGAAGCCTGGGCATAGATTTGTAGAAATGAAATGAAACAAGGGAGAGACCCACTGTGACCATCTGAACATACCCATATTGTTCTTTCCTACTCCCAGGAAGCAGTAGCCAGGACATGGTAACACACTTTTAGGATATTGGCTTTTGCTTGTCTCAGCTATGCATTGTGGAATGAAGTTAAGTTGAAAGAAATACTATGTGCTTTTGCTTCCTGTGCCTGCTGGAAGATGTGAGAGCTTAATTTCTGCTGCTCCTGCTCCAGCCACCTCCAGCCACCATGCCTCCCCACCATGACGGTCTGTAATTCCCCTGGAACCGTAAGCTCAAATAAACTTTTCCTGGTATGTTGTTTTGGTCAGTGTTTCTATCACAGCAACAGAAAAGTGACTAATACAGTAATTGGTACCAGAGAGTGGGCTGATGACTGTGAAGAACCTGACCATGTGGGGTTTCAAAGAAATATGGAGCTTTGGAAGGTTGAGCCAGAAAAGCAGCTGATTGCTGTAAGTGGAGCTTAACAGGCCATTCTAGTAGGAGCCTGGAAGAAAGTAATGCTGAGAACAATGTAGTTCCAGAGAGAAATAAGGACTTAAGCAGCACTTGGGATATTTTGGCAAAGAGTCTGGCTGGAGTCTGCCCTCAACCAAAAAGCTTGCCTGAGGCTAAGTTGAAAAGCAATGGACTAATTTCTCTGGTGGAAGAAATTTCAAGACAGCCTAATGTAGAAATGGTGGTGTGGCTATTAATGGTGAATATTATGCAGATCTACAGTGAAAACGAGCAAATGGGGCAGAAAGAAATACAGTTTGGATTGAAAAAGAGTACAAGGAAGATAAAGGTTGGAGCCTCAGGCATGCTGGAAAGGATCCCTATGATAAGGAGATTAAAGTGGTTAAGGAGCAGCCTAGAGATTCAAACAAACAATGGAGAGAGTGCTTCCAGGGCAGGACCACACCCAGTTAAGCCTCCAATTTGTGAAAGGAAAATGCTGCAGGGAAATGGATAAAGCAGGCTGGAGTCCATCCCAAACTTGCAGTCAAACTTCACAGTGTCATTCACCTGGTACTGGCTTTAGAGGCATGAAAGATGCAAGACTGAAGGGGTCAGCAGTTCCTCCTCCACGGTTTCAGAGAGCTGCTGAGGCCAGACAGCATGCAGCAGGGGTACCCCTGCATAAAGAAGGCCCTGATAGGCCATTTTGTGAAGCTGTGAAGGTGAAGCCTGGTTGGCAGTGGAGACCTCAAGAAGACGTTTGTGATGCCAGAGCTAGCTGTGAGGCATCTGCCAAGAAGACCTGCATACAGGTACCAGCCCAAGAGAAAGATGTATGTTGCACACAACAAAGCTGGAGAGGCTGAGCCATCTAAGCCCTCTGAAAGTAAAGTCCCAGAAGTCAGACATGGAGCTACTGGATTTGGTGTTTTGTCCTGCTGGTTTTCAGTCCTGTTTTGGTCCAGTATTTCCTCACTATGCCTCTATTCCTCCCTTTTGGAATGGTAATGGGTATTCAGTTCCACTGTATGTTGGGAGTATGTAATTTGTCTTTTGATTTTACAGGGGCTTACAGTTAAGAGAGTGCCCTGAGTCTCAGAAGAGACTTTGGACTGTGGAATTTTGAATAGTATTGAGACTGAAAATGCCTATGGGGACTTTTAAAGTTGGACTAAATGCATTTTGCATTTTATATGGTCACGAGCCTATGGGGGACAGGGGGTGGAATGTGGTGGTTTGAATGAAAATGTCCCCCATAGGCTCCAAATATTTAGACATTTTTGTCCCCAGATGGTGGCACTGTTTTGGGAGGCTTTAGGAGGTATGGCTATCCTGGAGGAAGTATGTCACTGGGGGTGGGCGCAGAGAGTTCTTAAGCCTTGCTGGATCTCCAGTTACTCGTTTCCTCTGCCTGCTGGAAGATGTAGAGCTTAGCTTCCACTCCTCCTCCAGCCACCTCTGACGCCATGCCTCCCTGCCATGATGGACTGTATTCCCCTGGAACCCTAAGTTCAAATAAACTCTTTAAAAACAAAAATAAATAAAAAGAAAAGGAAAGAAAGAAATACTATGCTACTTAAGGCATTTCAGTGTTCTAGAGTCAGACATCAATTTTGTAACTATATGAGGTCAATTTTCTCTTTTATAAACATTTTTAAAAATCGTTATTTTTTGTGTGTATATGGGTATATTGCCTGCATGTATGTAAATGCACCTGTGTCATACAATGCCTGCAGAGGTCAGAAGAGAGTGTTGGATCCCCTGGAACTGAAGTTACAGATAGTTGTTAGCTGTCATATGGGTGCTGGAACCAAACCTGGATCCTCTGTAAGAGCAGCCAGTGCTCTCAACCTTGCAGCCATCTCTCCAGTCCCAATTTTTCCATTTTTTTCTTTATACAGCAAGGGAATGTATTATATAATTGGTTATGTAATAACCCATGATGTGCACACAAGCCAAAAGTCCTGGAGTACACATGGAGAAAAACTATAGAGCAAGGCTTGCAGATACTAACTCCCAACTGCACACCAGACGTCAGGGACCCTGGTCTTTGCCCAGCTGGCTATCAGTCAGAAAGAACCAAGTGATTTTGGTTAAGTCAGTAGTTCCATTTACACTGGGTAGCATATTAGAGAGAAAACAGATGATGTGTTCTAAAATTACATCTAGCCATCAAATCTGTGATGCAGAAAATCTAAAAGCACTAGTGGAAACAGGCCATATGGAGATTCAGACATACTAACCTACATGACTTTCCACCATCTCTACTGTACCCAGAGCAAAAAAAAGAGTCAGCGAAATTTCATTTATGAAGTTATCAAGTTTATTTTTACCATTCCTGTTATTCTGATTAATGGAACTACTTCTCCAGTTTAACTGCTTTAAAATAACATTTAGAATAATAACAAACTATTAATCATAGTCTTTAAATTCTGGTAAAATACCCAAACAAATCAAAACACTAAATTTCACATATCAACAAAGCTCCAAACAGGGGAGGGGGGATTTATTGACTTCAAAATTGTTTTAACTTTTCAAATAAATGTTTTATATGTAAGTATTCATTGTGTATGTACATGTAGGTGCCTGTGCACACCACAATGCATGTGTGTAAGTCAGATGACAACTTGTAGGAGTCTGTTTTCGCCTCCTACCATGCGGGCCCCAGGAATCAAACTTAGGTCGTAAAGCTTGGGGCAAGTGCCTTTACCCACTGAGCCATCTTGCTGGCTCCTATTTTAACTTCTAATTGTTTAACAATAAAATGATAAAACAATTTCTCTGTAATATTAGACAGACTTCCCAATTTTTACCGTAAGTTAGGAACATCCACACTTTAGCATGTATTTTTTTAAAGTATTCCTCCTAATGACAAATACTGAGGATTACTAGAACCTAAACATCACTCAGGTTATTTGTAAACACACAACAAAGCATCTTTAAATGACAGCATGTATAAAGATCTCTCCTTGGGAACTCGGTTTGTAAAACTGGCTGTCCTTATGATGAGGCATCATCAACAAATATGGACAGCACCCTGTGAGGGCCTGCCCTCTGACTGGGGGGATGGGGAGGTTTCCACTCTGCAGTCTTCATACCCTCCTACAAGAATGTCTCCTCACCTCCAGGTCCAAGACTCTTGATGGTTTTCTAAATTTGTGTTTTGTTTTTTAACAGTGAATGGAAAAAAACAAGCAGTCCAGACAAGTCCTGTGGCCAGAGCGGCCTTCTGCAAACTCAACCATAACCTAACCACTAATTTCCAAGGCCCAGATACATGTCCCCTCTCACTGCCTGTCAGAGGGATGTGAACATCAGAAAGGAAGGGTTGGCTGTCTGCTGTTCTGAGGGTCCTAGAATCTCATAAATGTACACCTATGACTTGGAAGAGGTTTACCCAGGACATGTGCAGAAAAACACTACTCAAGGAACAGCCAGGAAATGAGCTCCCTGCTCCTCCAAGTTCACATGTGATCAAAAGGCTTAGTGATGACTGTGTTAAGCCTATCTCTTCAGAGATTTGCCAGACCTCATGCTGGTTCAATCATGTCACCAGAGCTGCAACACATTATTATTTCCTAAATAATCTGGAACAGGAAATTGAAATGCTGATATGCAAAATCAGTGTGCATTCATTGCTTTGCTAGGTGCTATGCCGTAACAGCTGACAGAGGCAATTTAGGAAGGATTTATTCGGGCTCACAGTTCAAGTGTCCAGTCCATAAAGGCAGGAAATTCATAGTGACAAGAATCTGAGGAATCTCCTCACATAGTATCCTCCATCAGGAAGCAGGGGTGGGGGAGGAATTCTGGTCCTCAGCTCACTTTCTCCTTTTTATCCAGTCTAGGACCCCAGCTTACAGAATGGTACCATGTAAGTAAGCATAGGTCTTTCCACCTCAACTAACTTTTATAGAAACTCCCTCACAGGCATGCCCAAGGGTTGTTTCCTAGACAATTCTAGAGCCTGTAAGCTGACAATATTAATTACCTCAGTAAGAGTAGCTGTTTTGTGCTTGTCTGTAAAAAGCAGAGAATCTCATGGTACTGACAAGAGCAGCTAATGGGAAACTCTATGTTGGCAAGCCTGAGGGTTCGCCTGGAGTCTCTCCTTTATAACAAGTAGCAACTAGTCTCCTAAGCAAAGCAAAACCATAGCACACACAAGCTCATGGGAGATCCTGAAAAGGCCAGGGGACCCAATGAAAACCAAAAGCCCTGAAAGCTATTCACCAGCAAAAGCCACTGACAGTCCCTGAGGGGTGGGCCTGTCCACACAGACACAAACACGTATATCCTAGGTCTCTGTGGCATTCAACCTGCATGGGAGTTTTCTCTGGTTATTAAGACAACTGATCATTGCTAAAGTAACTGGCAACAGCGACTCTCTTGGTAAATGTGCCCCTCATGCCACGAGGGTCATCTTCTCATAGACACTGTTACACAAGAAGGGAAACTCATTAACTAATCAAGATCAGAGCCCTCTGCTCCCTCTGCATCTTAATAAGTTATATTACTCAGGCCTATCAGAGTAAAATTAGCTGACCGTGAATTTAATGTTGATAGCTATTAAACAGAAAGACTGCTGGCAAGATCTCTTTTTTTCTCCATGTTACCTGTTTATTGAGCATCCTATTTGGAGCCTTAAGAGGCTTCTAAAGGATTTAATATACAAATGGGTTTATCATGCTCCCTCATTCAGGCCCAGAGCAGAACACCAGGTCAACTCAGTTCCTTCTCTTCCCTCACATTCCTCAGTCCAACCCCTATTATCCTGCCTTCTCTCAAACATCTCTCAGATCCTGTTCACCCCAAAAGGCCTATGCTTTCTCTCACTGGAATCACCCCAACACCTCCAAGGGTCCACCTGCCTGGATGGTCCGCAAGCCCAGCCTCAGGGCTGGATTCCAGATGTCCTGTCTCTGCTTCAAGTTCTGTAGTCTTCTGAATGACTGACATTCTTGGGTTTCCATATGGTGACCAGACAGATATTGCCAGCTTGCCATACATGTACCCAAATTTTGTCCCCACCCCCTTCTACTGAGCCCTCCTCCAGCTACACTGACCTTGACACAGTTCCTCTGGAGAACCTGCTCTTCCTCCTGATTCCTTCCCCTTGCTGGGCTTAAACCCTTTGCCCCAGCATGATCCCCCAGGTGCCTAGAGTCTGGGTTACAGCCTCTACTGGGTCAGGCATTACACCTATTTCCTTATCTAAACCACCCACCAACCCAAACCACAGAATCAGGAATACAGTTTATCTCATCTCCCCTATCCAATACAGGGTATGAACCATGGCGACTGATGATAAATATTGTTAATTGTAAAGCAATTGAAAAACTTAATTTTCAAATACTCTCAATTACATAGTTTAACGCCTTTTATACATACATATAAAATTCCATCAGCTTTTAAGTGTCACAAGAAATGATTGCTACATGAATATACCTATGATCCAAAAAAGCCCATGACACATAGCTTCTGAGGCCCACAGGAAGAGAATCTGATTTGAACATGAACTAGCTCACGTTTGGAAGACTCGTCTGACAGGCAGAGGGAGGCACGTTCTTGACATTAATAATGACACAAATCAGTAACATGTCCTAAATTCTACACTGGTGGTGACTGTACACCAACGAAGAGTCAGGAAGAACAAGGTTTAAGTCTCAACCTATTACTGATGTGTTTTTCAATTATTCTGGAAATTTTCTATAGGATTCTATAGGATTCTTTTCTATAGGAGTTCCAAATATGTTAAAGAAAATAGAATTTTTAGAAAGACCCAAAATGTTTTATGATAAAGTAATAAAAGCTACTTTTTCAAGGTAAAGAAGGACAAAATGGGCCATGATCTCAAATATGGAATTAAAACAACCAGCCACCACAGAACAGGCGGGATTAAAACCACAGGTCTAAGCCACCTCTGTCCTTCTGACAAAAAGAAAGCTGACCTGCTGAGGCCTCAGGATGGAATAAATGCACTCTTCAGGGCTGGATCCGCACTAGCAAGACCGGGCACTGAGTGACAATGAACTTGAGAGTAGGAGGGCGTTGGAATTAAGAATAACAGCACGGAGCTTAGAGACAGAGATAACACGCTGACATCTCTTCTCTATGGAAATCAAGACAAGCATTAATTAGTATAAACACCCAGAATAGCTAAATCTAACTCGGGAGGAACTTATACAGTCTTAGTGGCGTGTCAGGGCCAGGAGGCCTGAATTCAACCACCCAGACAAGACTTGGGCAAAGGGGAAAGTATCTGCAGTTACAGAATTTTCTAGGGCAAGTGACAGCCAAAGTGCTAGGGAGAAACCAAGACAGCAGGAGGAGTGGGAAAGCAGAAGTGCAGGGACACTGCATGCTGTCAGCCTGGGGTAACAGGAAAGGCAACCTCTGAATACCTGTGCTGCCCTTCAGAGCCACACATTCGATCCAGCATGACACAGGGCCCTGCCACATCCCATGCACACCAAATGGCATGTGTAGGATAGTCACGCCAATGAAGCAGAGACATCAGAGGACGGGGACACACACACACACACGCACAGGTGCATCAGTGCATGACAGCCTTTGCTTTACCAGGTGTCAATACAGCTGTGAATCATCAGAACATGAGGTATATTTTACTGAGAAATGTAAAAGTAATGCTCTTAATGGAGGCAAAATATGATTTACCCTCAGTCAGCTTTAACCCAAAACATCTTTGAAAATAAGTCAGCTTTAACCCAAAACATCTTTGAAAATAAGTACAAACTCCCTCCTCCCCAGTAACAGCCAGCATGGGCAGGTCCTCTGCAGCTGATGGCTTGGGGGCTTCCTGCTCTCTGGTCTCCACAAACTACCCTGATGGAGTAAGTTCTGAGTACATTGAGGTGGAATTATTCTAAGGCCCACACAACACATAGGTGCTGTAATGCTCTTAATGGAGGCAAAATATGATTTACCCTCAGTCAGCTTTAACCCAAAACATCTTTGAAAATAAGTACAAACTCCCTCCTCCCCAGTAACAGCCAGCATGGGCAGGTCCTCTGCAGCTGATGGCTTGGGGGCTTCCTGCTCTCTGGTCTCCACAAACTACCCTGATGGAGTAAGTTCTGAGTACATTGAGGTGGAATTATTCTAAGGCCCACACAACACATAGGTGCTTTAGAGAACACTTTGTCTCCGGTTCTTTGCAGATACCTCACTGAAACCCAGACATGCTGTCACTGGTAAGACGTACTTGTTTGGGGGCATCCGTGGAGGCCGTGTGAACTTCGGAACCTCGTGGACCATCGCACTCAAACACCACTGTGGAAGAAAGGGTCTGTTAGCGGCGGGCTGGTAAGATTCCTGACTGCACATTAAAGAGTCCATTAAGGATTAAGCACTTTCACAGAGAGACACCAGTGCCTAGCCTGTGGCTGGAAAACACCAATTTCCCGGAACACTTACAGTGAGAGACCACAATAATGGTTGCCTGGGGCCACTGGCCTTCTTAATTCAGACTCCAAGCTATAGAAAGCAATCGCTAGCAATTAATTATCAGTGTGTGGGTAAAGGGGTCTGCTTTCTTCTCTACCAATGTGACCTGTGTCACTGAGCATCAGGCTGACTTCTGTCACACTGCTGGTATGGTGCAGCCATATCCCTAAAGCTCCTGCTCTATCTTGACACATAGGTAGCACACACATGTGGGACTCTGGTCAGCTCTATACAGAGAGCTTGGGGTTCTGAAGGATCCCAATGACCAGCTAAGGGAACTATACATATCCACAGACCAGCCCTGCCCGTCAGGATGGACATCACCAGGCCCTGGGCTGGAAGGGCATCCTGACTGGCACTGGTGCTGGTGGCACTATAATTCATTAGCAGACCCATTTCTGAAACATCTACTGCAGTTCAAATGAAACACATGCAAACAGGCTTATCTGAAATTAAAACCATATGACACTTGGCACTGAATAGGAGAACAGGCCAATACAGAGGTGGATGGCACTGCCATGCTTGGCAGGGTTGCAACATAAATAGGTCCACAGTGTGGACAATGGAATGACTGGTGGAAAACACTGCTGGTTAGCTTTTACTGTCAACTTGTCACAACCTACAGTCACCTGGGAAGACAGACCTTCAATTAAGGAATTTCCTAGATCAGAATGGCCTGTGGGGCATTGTCTTGACTGCCAACTGGTATAGGAGGGCCAAGCCCACTGTTGGCAGCACAGTCCCTAGGCAGGTAGTCTTGGACTATTTAAGAAAGCTAGCTAGACATGAGGCTGTGAGCACAAGCAGCATTCATCCATGATTTCTGCCTCCAGATTCCTCCCTTAAGCTCTTGCTGACTTCCCAATGATGGATTGTGACCTAGCGGTATAAGACAAATAAACCCTTTCCCCCCAGATTGCTTGTGGTCATAGTACTAGCGGTATAAGACAAATAAACCCTTTCCCCCCAGATTGCTTGTGGTCATAGTATTTGTGAGAGCACAGAAGAAACTAGAACAGACCCACACACATATACACATGCTTGGCACTGGCCAGTCACATGGCACAGGGCTGCGATACCTGTGTGTGCCCGCAGATGGGCCCTGAGTTGGCTGGGCTGGTGGAAGCTCTTGCCGCACTCCACACAGACAAAGTCTCCCTGGTGAGCCTGTGTCCGGGGCGTCCCTGTTGCTGATGTGGTGTGGCATGGAGAAGAGGAAAGAGAGAAGGGGAGGGAGAAAAGAAGGCATCATTAGTCTATCTGATGTATCAGTGTGGGAAGCCACCTCCGGGCCCTGGTGACAACTCTCAGCCTTGTCTTGGCTCAGCTGACAGACCAGACATGCGCAAGACTGCAAGGATACATAAATTACAGTAAATTTTTTTTTTAAATGCTCCAGGGACAGGAAGAGGGCAGGGTGGTACGACCGAGCAATGTGGCAGGCATGCGGTTCCAAGCAGCTGTATGCATGGCCCAGCTGTCACCTGGCTCTGTCAAGCAGTACAATACACAAATCAGAGTGACACCAGTGTGACAGAGACGAAGCCTGGGGATAAAAGAAGTGGTTAGGACCAGAACCTACTTGCCCCCAGCTGCTATCCGGGGAGACAGATGCAGAGCAAGTGTAGCCATCAGCAGCCACCCCACCTCTGGCCTCCTACCTATCTGACTGCAGCACAGAGAAGACAAGGGCCCTCAGAGGAGAGCCAGCAAGCAGCAGGTGGCAGTCCTCTAATGTGTGCTGGGCCATCAGCAAGGCAGGCCAGAACAGCAGGCACCTTCTACCCTGAACCCAGACTCTGGCCTCCCCTCTGAGCCAGGAGCACCACGTGGCTTTACGAGGAAAAAGAGACTGTGGATATCTGCCATCCTTGATTCCTTCTCACTTTTCCTGTGACATCTGCTAAAAAGAACCCTCCTGTGATGCATATCCTTATTGTACAGTAACTCAACGGGAACAGGGGGAAAAAACAACTAGAAAAAAAGTTATGCTTATAGCTGTAATTTTTGAAGAAATGTTGCTTCATTTACCTGAACGCTGACATACTTAACATCTGACCAATGGCCCCAAAGGCAAATAAAAAAGATGGCGGGGGGGGGGCTCCTTCACCACATCTTCAAGACAGCCCCCTCCTTCCCAGTGCTCAAAAAGTAGAAATAGCATTTAACCATGTCACAATCCTTACTGGACAGACCATGAAGATAAGTCTTAACCATGAGACCTTGCAATATAAAGCACTTTATTTCTTGTAGACTTCCTCAGAAACAAGAGAGTACGAAGAATAATTTTAACCAACACTCATTCATTCCGTTGATGAGAAGCCACTGACTAACATAATGTTAAGTGACACTGTGGAGGGTGAAGGACTCTGTGGAAACCACCTAGGTATCCTGAGTGAAGAAGACACTGTCACGTGTCCTCTTTCTAACACTCTTGGTCTGGACAATGATTTAACAACAGATAGACCCCCAAAGCAGAGGGAACAAACACAAAAATAAATCAGGCTGCCTCAAGCCAGAAAGCAGGGAAAGCAAACCTCAAGGTGATGAGGCCACCTGCAGAAGGGGGAAACGTGTGACCCACACCCCAGATGAGGGGTTACCACTCACATAGACAAAAGCAGAAATTTCTCAGTATGGAGAGGCCTGGTGTCATTGGAGCAAGCTCAGTCACCCAGTCACTCCACTGCCTTCCTTCAGCCAAGTGGCTGCCAGGAACCCTGTTGGGAAGCACATTCCTTTCTAGGAAGGTTCAATCTGAAAAGTGATCTTATCCCCTTCAGTTTCTACCCAGCTGAGTGTCCAAGCACCTTCCTCCAACAGCTAACCTGTTCTGGAACTTTCCTTAGCATATACCTACAACTCCTAAAAGCTTTCTCTCTCTCTCTCTCTCTCTCTCTCTCTCTCTCTCTCTCTCTTTTGGTCTTTCTGAGGCAGGGTCTCCTTGTAGCCAGAGCTGTCCTGGAACTTACTGTGTACACCAGGCTGGCCTTGAACTCACAGAGATCTGCCTGCCTCTGCCTCCCAAGTGCTGGGACTATAAGGCATGTGCCACCACGCCCAGCTCTCTTTACTTTTTAAGAAAAGTAATATCACCCATTACAATCAACATCATCACACCCAGGCTGCTACAAAGTTCTGAGTTAATCAAAAAGATCTTTTATGTGAATGGAAGACTAGTTCAGGAGCAAACAACTCCAATGCACTGACCTAGACAGTGAGGACACCAGCCTAGCCAGGCAGAGACACACACAGCCTGGTAGCATTTCTCATTACCCTGTGATGCATCTGTAAGGAGAAAGACAAGGCTAGAAAGTTCCCCTAAACAAAGAGACATTCATAGCTGCCCCATTAGTACATCCTTAGTAGAAATTACCTTATAATTCCAGTAAGAAAGCTCATATGTATTATTTTATCTAGAATTACCTCATTTCTGTCTGAATATTATCATATCATACACAGGCAGATCACCAACAACTGGAGACATGGTGACTTACTACTGTATCAACAAACCACTTGTATTGCATTCAGTGACTCCAGACTTGGTATTTACTCTATGGAAAGATGAACAAGGTGGATTTTATTGAGTCCATGACCCCTAAGGAAGTAATGACAGTCACTTTTGTATGTTCTGCTCAAGCCAAGGACTCCACAGCTCTTCCCTACAGGATCAAGGTCAACCTACATGGGGGGAAAGTCCCCAAGAAAGAGCTTCCAAATCAAACTTGGTATCACGGGGTTTTACCTAGCAGTACACTCTATAGATGCAGAATGCGGCATTGGACAGAATCACACATATGGCACCCACAACTGGGTCACATTCACAGCAGATGGCCTCTGTCCCTTAATGATGACTCTACTATGTATGTCTGCCTCCTTTAACTGCAGTTAGAATAGCTGAATGTTTCATCAGGACCCAGAAAGGGGGTGGCCTTCATATGGGCAGGTGTATGATACCAGCTAAGACACACACAACATGCATCACAGATGGCAGAAGGAAGGCCCAAGCAGCATGGGTGTAATCATGTGATTGGTTAAAAAAAAAAATCCTGTCACTAGGGAGGCCCCAAACCAGCATCTAATCTAAACACATGACTCAAAAATCAACTACTCATATACAACACAGAGGAATGCTGAGTGAAGAGGAAAGCCAAGACCTCAGAAGCTCTAGTTCTAGGGTCTTCAGCAACTGTGGTTACACCTGTGTCCAAGGACATAATAGCAGGCATAGAGCTCCTGACAGGAAACATCAATATTCTACCTTTCCAGAGGTATGACCATGTCAAGCTGCAGAGTTCTCTTAGGAACCCTATACTACAAACTTCAAGAATGGGCATTCAACAGGGAGAGAGCTCAGGACTGGAAAGCAGCTTAGACTGGGCAGCGTAGGCAAGAAGGTCAGGGAGCAGGGACAGGCACGGGACACGCAGGGTTGTCACAAAGGAATGTCAGCTTGCTGTGCACAGCCGGCCGTAAGAGACCAGTAACTGGGGCTGGCGAGATGGCTCAGAGGTTAAGAGCACTAGCAGTTCTCCCAGAGGAGCTAATTTCAAGTCATAGAACCACATGAAAGCTAATAACCATCCATGTCCATAACTCCAGTTCCAGAGGATCAAACACCCTCTTTTGGTTTCCATGGGTACCGCACAGAGAGGGCACAATTACATACATATAGGCAAAACACTCACACATAAAGAAGAAAGAGACCAGCCACCAACAGAAGACCACCAAAGCTAGTCACCAAGAGTGACAAGTCTAGAAACCAGTTGACACTTCTCAGCCTAACTGAGGACCTAGACAAAATCACAGGCATTCCTCCCTAAGCCTCAGGAGCTGGGCTCTTGAAAACACAGGTCTGTTTTAACATCAAAAACTCGAAACACTTCCCTTAAAAATCTCAAGCCAGAGAAAGCTGAAAAATTTGCCCAGACACTGTCAGGCAGATGCAGCTGGAGAAGCTAACAAATCACTTGCTTTACGGTCTATCAAACAATTTTCCCACAGACTCTCTTTTAAAAAAAAAAAAAAAAAAAATTCTTTAGGAATTTCTTTTCCCCCTACAGGTAAGAGTTATGCAACTTGGGAGCCTCACCTTGCGTCCCTCCTGTTCAGCATGGAAGAAGCCAGAGCAGTCTGTGTCCCGAATCCCTATCCACAAGCTGGGTTCTTCAGAGGATGGCATGATAAGAATAGGAGGTAGGAATTGGCTAGGCAGTTAGGATAAAAAGACCCCAAAGAAAAGTAGCCAATTTCCTGACTAAAAGTCAAAATGTCCTTGGGCCTGTTACTCTTAGCAACATACTCTGTTCCAAAGGCCAAAAATGTCAAAAGTATTTGGGAGCTCTTATCTAATCCTTAAAAGATTATAGGGTTACCTCTTCAGGGGGAAATGTTAGAATAGCAAAAAGTCCCATTTAAAAAAAAAAGAGGAAGAAGAAAGAGCACATGAAGCTATCAAAAAAACGTGGTAGGGAGATATGGGAGAAGTTGGAGGGAAGGGAGTGGGCATGGATTTTATCAAAACACCTTATATGCTTATATGCCTGTATGAAATTCTCAAATTTATTTTTAAAAGTCCTTAGAACCATGTATTTTAATAACTCCTAAGAAAACCATTTCAAATCATTTTTGTGCTTCATCTGAAATTCTCAAACTTAAAGCTCACTTTTACTTTCTTAGAAAAAGGAACAGCTACTGCCCAAGTGAAAAGAGCAGTACGGGAGAGGGGCTTTCAAAGCCCTCACTCACTACAGTATATACTGGCAGGTCCAGCGCTGTACAAATCACAGAGGCCACCAGTGGGTAACTACTTAAATAGTGAGTCTGGGTTAGTCACTAAAACATAGTGCAAACATCCAGGCACCCCACACTTTGAGTCTCAGTGTCCTGCTCCAACTCCTTAACAAGACACTGTCACCAGCCTAAGACAAATCCCCCAGAACAAGTGGGAGCAGACGGGCTCACTGGAAACCCACAGCCACTAAGGACTGGGCTACCAACTGGGGGCCTCACGGGTGTCAAGAGCACTAACTATACATCCAGCGTCCTGGAGTCTGAGGCTCTGGGCCACAAAGGCTGCCTGAAGGGCTAACTGCTTCAAGAAGCTGTGGGTTTGTGGTGGACAATGGTATCAAGGATGGGGTTAGGACCATCGAGAACAAACTGAAACAGTGAGCCTGATTTGGTCTGGTTTCTTGAGGCAGCGTCTCACTTTGTTCTCAGGCTGTCCTTGAACTGGCAATCAATCCCCTGATTTCTGCCTCCCCAGTGATGTTTGTTTTTTTTTTTTTTAAACAGGTCCTACATCTTCCCAGTGTTACAGATGTTAGATGAGAGTGACCTCTGATTTACAGTCAAGAACAGGGCCCAATTTGTACTGGGCCATAATACAAGGCATACATCCAGCTGGAATGAGGAAAACCACTGACAAGTTCTTGTGAGCACTGTTGGCTGTCAAACTACAAAATCACTTCGAACTGCTCCAAAACTTAGTACCCTTGAGTATTCACATGACTCATTTGTTTCATGAACAAACTTACTAAAAACACTGCCCCGACTACCTCTTAGACATTATATGTGTGAAAGATTCACAGGAAGCATAAATATTGTCTTTAGGCTTGGATCCCATCCCTGAGATAGTATATATAGCAAACTATTCCAAAATCCAACATACTCCTGGGTCCCAAGCACATGGGGTAAGGGACTTGACTGGCATTGCTAAAGCTGTCAAACCTGAGGCAGAGAGATGAATGAAAACCCAAGTACCATTTCAGAAATCACAGCACAGCCCAACCCACCAGTCTTCATGCACACATCCATCTTCTGCAAGGTTCTGCCTACAAGATACCACTTAGGAATCTCCGATATTATTTACATATGAACTCAAATGGACATTTTCTCTTTTGGGAAACAAGAACAGTGAATACATACCAATACTTTGTTTAAAGTAACAGAGTAAAATCGGGTCTCCCTGTTCCTGTCAAGTTTCAGTACAGAGGAAACGAATGAGTTTCTATATTAACAAAAGGGGGACACTCGGAGGATGCTGACTGTTGGGCCATGAACACAGTCTCAAGGGACTGCCCTCAGGTAGGGAGAACTTCTGGCTAGCCAGGTCAACAGGAGGCAGTGGCTTTGCCAATGTTTGCCTTAAAGACTTGTACAGACAAGTGTACACACCTGTAACCTCCACAAGGCCCAGGGAGGAAGGAGCCCACCCATCTTACCTCTGTGGTCAGGCCCAGGGCTGCTGACACCCCAGCCCTGGTAGAGTGTGGCGAAGTCCTTTGGAATGTACGTCTTAAAGATACTGAGGATGTCCAAGCGTTTCTCCTGTCCCTCAACTGCCGGTTCCTGCTTGATGGAGTGTACGATGGGGGGCGCACTGGGCGGGGCCTGCAAGGCAGCATCCCCTCTGGACCCCGCTGCACAGGTAGCCAGTGTCCTCAGCTCCTGGGCCGCCTTCGCAGAGGGTTCAGGGGGAGGTAGAGGAGAGCCTCCTTCTCCTTTTGAGGGAGGCTGACCCTGAGGCTGAGGGCTGAATTTGGCTTTCAGAGAGTCTGGGGCACTGTGCTTATTTGGAGGGACAAAGCCAGCCCCCGTTGCAGGGACCCCGAGCTTCTCCACTGGCTTGTTATTAGCTGAAGGCTGGGCACCTGCACGGGTTATAACTGAGGGTGTGGGGGTGGCACTTCTGCTGAGGCCCCCACTGCCTGGGGCAGGCGCCAACTTGGAGCCGACCTCGGGTTTGGGTTTGGCCAGGGACCCCTGCACCACAGCAGTGGGTGACTCCTGGCCATGGCCATGTCTGGTTTGTCGATACCCATCAGGGCTGGATGCCCAGAGAGCACAGGGGCCCCCAGAATGGCTCTCCTTGTTCTTCGGCATGCTAGCAGTTTTCAGGAGAGAAGAGCTGCCCTTAGGTCCTGGCACCCCGCCTGGAACCTGGGTGCGGGTGAAGCGAGCAAGAAGCAGAGGCTGGCATTCCTTGCCCCCAAGGGCAGGTGGAGGGCCTGTGCGCCCACTGCGCGCAAGGAAAACCAGGCTGCTGCGAATGCTCTTGTGGCCATTGGGCTGAGTCCACGGGGGTGCCACGGAGCTGCAGCTGACCCTGTGCCAGATGCGCTTGTGCATCCACAGGACCTCAGGGTAGTAGGTCTTGTGGTTACAGTAAGGACACGGGTGAATGACCAGGGCTGCCTGCAGAGAGCACACTTCCTTACTGCTGGGCTCATCCCGGCTTGACCGCATGCTCAAATCCAGTGGGACCAAGTCAGGGGCAGGTGCCCTCTTTCCTGCCCCACAGTGCTCCTTCTTGTGCAAATCAGACAATTTTTCTTTCGAGTGCCCAGTCTGGCTGTCCGCGGCAAGCTGCAGGCCAGCTCCTTCCATGCTCGAAGGGAAGTCAGCCCTGTCGATAGTGCTGGGTACCTCCTGCTTGGGGTGAAATGCTGGCATCTTTAAGTCAAGAGAAAATCTATGCTGCTCAGGACCCTTGGCAGTCTCTCTGCTGTTGTTTTCAAGTATGGACATGGACGGCATGGCAATCCCTGCCTTGGGCTCGCTGGTGTCTTTCTCTGGCGGGTTATTTCCGAGTTTGTGACTCTGGTCTCCATTGGAGAGCACGGTGGATGCCACCTCTCCAGAAGAGTAGCAGTGGCGTGGCTGGCCCCCTAGAGGATGCAAAATGTAAAACGGGAAGTTACCATTTCTCATCAGAACAGAGCAAGGCACAGGACATGAAGCAGCTACACTGGCACTTCCAGGGCATCTGGACCAGGGGCTTGGCGTCAGCAGGATGGACATTCACTGTCAGGATCTGTAAGGAGCCAACTACACAGAGGGAGCTGATGCTGCACCAGGCAAGACTTCAGTTTTCAAGCAACTAAAAATGACCCAAAAGACCCAGGAAAGAAATGAAGCAGCTGCTAATTATGTATAACCACACTGCTACTAGTTAAGAAAAGGTGACCAGTTACAACCAGAAACTAGGGGCCAGTGAGATGGTTCAATGGGTAAAGGCGCTTGTGACCAAGCCTGAGGATCTGAGTTTGATCCCTGGGAACAACACGGTGGAAGAAAAAGACTGACTCCCACAAGTTGTCCTCTGATGTTCATATGCATGCTATGGCATACATACATCCCCCCCAACACACACACGTACACACACACACACACACACGCACACATACACACACAAAAAATAAATAATAAATGTAACAAGATAAATGTTTTAAAAAGAAATTAGGAAAAGAACTCAACTGTAACCATATAACACTTTGTTTACATGTTCTACAACCCAGTGTGCAAGACACTCATGAAATCTGAGGTCACCCCTAGAGAATTTCGAGTTGAAAGCCAGCAAGGCCACCTAGCCCTGGTCACAAAGAGCAGGATGGAAAGAGTGGGCTGTCCAAGGACCCCAGCATCCACCTCAGACACAAGCTATGGAGCAACTTCAGCCCAGTCCCATGAGTCCTTCTCATGAAAGCCAGTTTTCAAGTCTAAAACTTGACACTAGGTTCCCTTTAGAGGCTGGTGCATGCAGGCTCAGTCATACCATTCATCTCTACACTGTCACCTGTGGGTCACCAGACAACTGAGTGAACCTTGGGTGCATCCCTGAGCCTCACTTTCTGAATCTGGGGATGGGGAGCTCAAAGCTGTACCAATGATAGAAGGGACCCCTGGATGGATGGTCTGTGGGGTCCAAAGGGCCTTATGCTGATTGCACCACTGCCACAGCAAGGTCTGGGCTCTGCAGTAGTGCTTAAGGTGGACAGACCCTACTTTAGCAAAGTCTGTTTAAGTTCCCACTGATGCCCTGGGTTTATTCACACCTGGGTCTGAACCAGTCTGTTTAAGTTCCCACTGATGCCCTGGGTTTATTCACACCTGGGTCTGAACCTGCGGGGAGGCCCTGGGGAGCTTCCACCTCCTCACTGGAAAACACAGGGCTCTAACCATAAATAAAACCACAGTAGCCTTTCAGCTCACAGTCATGATTCTTGGAGCAGACTGAGATGCCACAAGTCTCAAGAGGGTGCATGTTCATGGTTTTCATAGATTCTAGAGATTTGAACCTCCAGTAAAATGCAGGCATCAACTTATTCAGAATGTTTGTTTATAATGTTCAGGGTATATTTTTAGAGATGTAATTTGGAAATTTTATCAGGGAAAACTATTGTAAAGGGTTCCTTGTCACGGCAGGAAAGCACCCATCACAGAAGACACTAGCCCAGAGGAGAAGCAGAAAGAGGAATGCTCCTTTAACAAGTGCTCATATGCAATGTAAGTCTCCAGAACTGTGACCCTTATCTGGATATTAGTGACCGGGAGGAGGTGAGACAAGGGAAGAGTTGATGGTCTCTGCAGTCAGCTGCAAAGAGCTGGCTTAGTTTACTCAGAAGTCAGGTGCATTCCTTTGGCCTGGGTCAATGCCAAAGCACATGTAGGCCCTAGGCCACTCTGATGACAAACACGTGGTGAACCAGAATTAAACAGGGAGTGGAGGCTCAGACTTTGTTTACCTCCCAAGTGGTACTCAGAATGTTACACTCATTTTTCAACATTCCCAGAACAGAAAAACCTTGGGAGTAGGGATGTCCTGCCCTGTCTTCGCTGCATTAAAGGAATATGGATTCATAAATGCACAGGTCAGACTGCCATCATATTCTTTAGAGGAAACATGGGACTGTGTGAGCCAATGCTGCACCTGTGGAGTATTCCAAGACCCGGGGTCAAAACCCCAAATTTTATGCTCCAAAGAGAACCATAAACTTCTCCACAGAATGTTCAGTAAATCTGACCAAGGCACTAATGAGAAAGTTATAGCAAATAGCCATCAAAGTAATTGATGGAAGTAAAATAGTACTGAGACCATCACCAAGGATTTGGGACCACTCAACCCCCACCGGAGGGGGGGAACACAACCATCACCATGAACAGTATATGAAAAACAAAGTCCCACCCACTTCAGAGGATCATTAGAGATGGGGACACCTGTATTTACTGTCATAAATATATCATAGATATTCACAATTTGAGCCATGTGGTAATATCTTCAACTTTTAGCACTGCCTCTGGGATGCCCTGATACAAGTGTCTGTTCATGGCACATCTGATTCTCACCTCCTACTCCTTGTTTCAAAATCAAGGGCATTTCACAGGAGCATACAGAAAGGAGTCTTCCAAAAAGAAAACTACTGCAACACCACACCCTGTATACAGACAGCAGCAGACAGGTAACAACACAACCATTCCTAGACCATGCACCTCACGGCAGAGCCATACAAGACATAAGAGCAACACAACGCTATGAAAGAGAGGCGCCTACCTGGGCCTGTGCTCTAGGGAGAGCAAGGGCCTAGACTCCCACTTCCCTCCTAAACAGGGCCTTTCCTGGTATTGCTTTGAAACTCAACCCATCAAGTGTCACGTTTGAAATAACCAACTATACCCCATGCTGCCCTGCCCTGTTCACATTGCACACACAAGTGTATCTCACAGTCCTGCTCCTGCCAGCCCCAGATGTCCAGAGTCTCCAAGTGACACCTTGTGTACCTATGTGCACAAGCACACTCCAAAGTGCAGAAACACAGGGAGAGCACTTAACAGAAGTCAGCCCCCCAGTGCCTCCATTTACTGTCACAAACAGACATCACAGACCGTTACAGTTTGAGCCACATAGAGGTATCCCCTCCCACTTTGGAACTGCTCTGTGCTTCACGCTTAAAACACAGCAAGGAGAGATGTGCTACCCCTGACCTCTTGAAAAGGTGGCACGTGGTGGTGAACTGGAGCCATCCGAGACACTGATGACACTCTGGTAGGTGACCATGCAGCATAGGACCATGCAGCTGCACTTTGAGGCCCAAGCTACCTGAAGGAAGTCACCCAAGTCTGCCTGCATGCTGAGCTCCCACAATGATCCCCACATAATGACCTCTTCTTCTACCTGCTGCCTTCTTTCTACAGAGTATTGTTTAAATCATGATTTCCTCCTGAAATGCTGTTTCTCAAGGTCACTATGCAAAATGCCCTTAAGGTCTGACTTAATTTCCTAAGGTTTTAAAACAGGGACACACACACCCCCAAAACACACACACACACACACACACACACACACACACACACACACACACACACACATCTATGGACCCTCTTTTTTTTTCTCACACAAAAAGTATATTATCTATATACAAATGCCCGCACATCACTTTAT